GGCAATGACAAATGCAAATTCTAACATAGCACGTTTATTCTCATACCTTGACAAAACACTATCAAGTATAGCAAATTCAACTAAACCTTTTCTTTTATCGAATGTAATTTTGGGAAAAAAATTTCACTTTTTCTATTGAAAATATAGAGTAAAATGTTTTAAGTACTTCTTTTTGTTATTCAAAACACATGAAAGATAGACAAATAGAAAGTATATACTGCAAAAAAAAAAAATTTAATCTTAAAGCTCAACTTTATTAGAGTTGTAAATGAAATGAATACGAATGGATGAATATAAGTTTTTGATTTATTTATTTTATTTTTAAAGGTGTTTAGATTTTATTTGTGTTTGATAAAATAATTATTCTACTCATTCTAGTTAGGTTTGTTTAAATTGTAGGATATTTGTATTCGACTCGTATTTAGTTCGATTAAGTTAAATAAATTTTTTCGTGAGTATTAAATGAATATTTTAATGAATATTAAAAATTAAATAAATATATTCATAAATAATAAATAAATTATAATCAAATAAATTTAAACAAACTCTAAACGAATATAAACTAATATTTAAATTAGATTAATGTAAAAGATAAAAATATAAATTTGTTATTATTATTATAAATAAACAATAAATGAAAGAATTTTAAAAAAATCATAAACTAGTTTGTTTGTAAAAATAAATGAATTAAATATATTTCTATTGATATTTAATTCGTTTAATAAATATATATAAAAATATTATTTAAAAAGATTTTTATTTTGAAGATTTAATTTTGATAATATGCATATAGCACTCATCAAACAAAATAAAAGAAGAAACACTTATTTTTTGACGGACAAAAAAAAAAAAAAAACATCGAAACAACAGCTTGCACCACTTTATGTGTTGTGGTATGGTAATTTTAAACTATCATTTATTGGATAAAAGAGTAAGGGATCTATTTAGAAATTTTTTGTTTTGGAAGGTAACATAAATAATAAACCGAAACATTTAATACTATCATGATATTTTGGGTATTCTACCCAAAAAAACAGAAAAAAAGGCACACCTCAAATCCAATACAAAGGAGAATTAATGAAGGCAAAAAAAATGTAGGAATTGTTTTCTTTAATAAATACATTGACTTATAAAATTAAATGTTTAATTCCATGGCACCCAATAAAATAATAAATAGAAATATAATTAAGAATTCATCTCCCAAATTATTAAAAGGAAAACAGTTGCTATCCATAAATTCCACATACAACTACTGTGTCTCTCTAGATTCATCTTTTTTACTTTAAAGTAGAAACAAAACAAAAGAAAATTTTGAAAGACAAAAAAACCAATCAAGAAAGAGCAAAGCAAAGCAAATGCTGCAACTGTTGTTCGCGCTGGCTTTCTCGTCGGTGCCATTGATTCTTTACGTGCCGCCGATTCGGAACCTGAATCTATTCGTGGAGAAAATCGAGGATATTCTTCGACAGACAACCTTTTACTCACTTAGGGCTTATTCTCGTATCCGCCTCGGTTTTTCTAGGATCTTTCACTCCTTTTTTCACTTGTCTAGGTAGATTTTTTCAAAAAGAAATTCCTTTTTTTTTTCTTCTTGTTATGAATTTGGGATGTTTTTAGAGATGGGGATGATAGAGGTTTGGTATACATGACTATATGTAAATAACCTTCGATTATTTACCATTTGTAATTTGGGTTTCTCTTAAAACTCAAAATTTTCTGATAAATTTGTTATCTTTTTTTCTTGGGTTTTGTATTTTTGTTTTTTTTTTTTTATGTTCTTGATCCATGAATGAAACAACTCCTTTTATTTTGGGTTAATTTAATTACAATTATATTTTATCATGAATTTTGATTATATTTTTGTAAGTAATTATTGCATTAGTTATGGTTTATGAAAGGCAGAAACATTTTCCAATTAATCTGATATTGTTTCTTATTGTTGGAAAAAAATTATGCCATTGCTGCATTTGCTATTGTTGTTCAGAAAATTCCTTCTTTTTTTTTTCCCTGCTTATGGCTTTTTCAATGGATTTGCCAGAGAAATTCAAGGTTTATTGGTGATTATTGTACAAAAAGTGAAGGTTTATTGGTGATTGGGCTTGTCTTTTATCTATCTTCGAGTAAATTAAAAAAACCTCATTGTGTGGATAAGAAGTCTAATTAAGGACAAAATAAACATTCCATATGGTTTAAAAAGTGATATTGATTGAGCTTCTTTTCACTAAAAAAGTCTTTGATTCATGAAATTTTAGATTCATGAAGGTAAAATTATTTACTTTGCCTCTCGACACCGGCCTACGTGGCCGGCCGACCCCTCCCCTCCCTCGCTATGACTCCCTCCCTTTCCTTTTCTGTGATCGTCGCCTGGCATTTAAAGGCTCTTTTTTCTCCAAAATGTTCATTTATGCCGTATCATTAATCCACTGTATATTATTTTATGTGCTGTCATATCATGCAGGATGTCAATTGTACGGTTGTATTTCAGTTTTTTTTTTTTTTTTTCTAATTTACCTTTTTTTCTTTGTGGCATCGAGTAATTGGTTTTTGTGACAAGGAACTTGTTAGTTATTAATATCCAAACAGTTAAACTGAATCAAACAATTTCGACCCCAATTGAGTGTTGACTCAGAATCGTAATAAACATAGTTTCGATGAAATTAAAAATAATAACGATAGTGAGGTTAATTATTATAATTAAAATTTTAAATATTATAATAATGATATAAAAATTAATGATAAAATGTATATTTAAATGTAAATGTAATGATATTAGTAAAATTAAATATAATAAAAAATAATTATTTAAAATATTAAATTTAAAATTATATATAATAAAATTTATATTATATATTACATATTATAAAATTAATAAATTATTAAAAATTATTAAAATTAATTATATATATTAAATAATATTTTTAAAAATAAATATTAATAAATAATTAAAAATTATTATTTTAGCACTAATTGTTTTTACACAAAGCAAGTGCACAGACCAATATTGATTAATTATTTATTTGGATTTCATCGTACTTTTGGTATAATACAATTAAATTTATTGTATCACCAGTTGAATCTAAATGTTAATTCAAATGAGATTCATTTAACACAAATTTTTCATTGAATTTTTTTAATCATAGCTACAATAATTATTATTATTATTTTTAATTTTATCATCTAGGGTATTTATTCGGTCGGTCTGGTTAATTTCAAACCGAATTATCCTAAATTAAATTAATCGAGTTATATTATTTTATTTTCGTTAATCGAACTAAATTTATGAATTTAAAAAATTAAGCGATTGAATTTAATTTTGTCAGTTTGGTTAATTTTTTGGTTAACCAAATAATAAATGTATTTAAGTTAAATTATATTTTAAACTCTTAATTTCTCATATTTTAAATAAACTAACTAAAATTATTCAATAAAATATTCAAATATTAAAGTATTATGTTAAAAATTCTAACAAATTATAAAATTAAGCAATTCATTTCTTGTATTTTTTATTTTATATTTGGATTAGATTATATTTCTGTTAAAATTTTAGTTAATTTAATTTTCAAACAAAATTAACCGAAAATCGAAATTTTTCTAAAATCATTTTTGTTAGCCAATCGAAATTAATTTGATGATCGATTGATTAATCAAATTAAACTAGTTTGATCTATTAATTTGATTAAAATCGAATTATGAACACCCCTATTACCATCTATCCAAGCTATACACCCTTTTAATAGATGTGTCAAATGGTTTAAATATTAATTCATGTATTTAACATATTATTTTGGCATGGTTTGTGAAAGTTAAAAGTATGATTCAACAAAATACATGACCCAAAATCTTTATAGATCATGTCATGCTTAGTAGAGTATTATTCTTTGTATCTAATTGGATTAAAAACGGTCAATTAATAATTTTTCAAAATTTTAGGATTAGTTTAGCTTTAAAAGTTTAACCCTTTCTCAGTTTCTCTTCCTTAAAAAAAAAAAACCCTTGATACATTTACAACAAGTGGTTGAGTATTACTAAACTTATATATGGTTGAAATATATTTATGAACAAAGTGATACTAACAGAATTCCAATGGATTAAAAATTAGGGTTTGAAATTTGCATATGAAAGCTGGATGTTAATTGGGTAAAGCAGACACTTTGTTTCTTCAACAGCTTAATATTCATCCTGGCTCTTGAGCTTGTAGTTAGCACAAGAGTTAGTTCATGGTACCCCATTTTTGCAAATTAGAATAACATAACCAACTTTTGGTCTTTATTCTTAACTCCTTTCTTCTAATTATGATCAAAAGATAAGCAATTTAGAATCTTTACTTAAATCTCATCCTACTCTTACCACTTATGTATTTTTTTTGTCTTGATTTCAAGAAAGTACTTGGAATTAAATACCAAATATATACTTATTAGTATTTTCAATGGGAATTATTTACATATGATTAACCATTAATCATTTAATAAGAGCAATGAATTAGTGGTCATGCTATTTCATCATCTACATGTGACATGGTTAAGGAATATGGAAATCTAAGGAGACAATAGAGGAGGGAGCAAGGCATGGGAAAAAAGTGAAGGGAGTCTCGGGAATCAGGTCGTGAATGGCAGGGCAGGACAACATGTGAAATAGTGGTGGCTCGTGAAAGTGAAAAATGTTGAGGTGGATTTCCTCTATGCAATGGTAAAATTCAGTTCATGTCAGAGCGGTACTAGAAAACAATCCTTGCAGAATCCGAGGGAGATTGTCAGGCCAAGAACAATCACTGCATTTTCTTACTCAAATCAGCAAAGCAGCATTCACTGCATTGTATTATAATACACTCACTCTGATCATTCCATGTTTTATATAATGTTAAAATTACTAAAAAGATATAAATCAGTGCGTTCGAAAATTTATCTAACACTCGCCAACGGTCGAATGAAAGATTTTCATGAAACGTGAAAACATTTAAACCAAACTACATTTCCCTTCCCTACATATCCCGCGCCTTTCAACCCACTTCTCTTCACTCCCATAGTTCCAGCTTCACTCACTCTCCTCACTCCCCACTCAGCTACCTCTTTTCTCTTAGTGAAACTCCCATGGAAAGTTACAGAAGATCGCCATTGAAGCCATGGAAGAAAGGTCCAACTCGAGGCAAAGGCGGCCCCCAGAATGCTTCTTGTCAATACCGTGGAGTCAGGCAGAGAACATGGGGCAAATGGGTGGCTGAAATAAGAGAACCCAAGAAGAGAACAAGACTCTGGTTGGGTTCTTTTGCCACGGCGGAAGAAGCTGCCATGGCGTATGATGAGGCTGCGAGGAGATTGTATGGGCCGGATGCTTATCTTAATCTTCCACACCTTCAACCAATCTCCAATTCTCCAAACAAACTGCAGAAGTTCAAATGGATTCCTTCCAAGAACTTCATCTCTATGTTTCCTTCTTGTGGTTTGCTTAATATAAATGCCCAACCTAGTGTTCATGTTATTCATCAGAGGCTCCAAGAACTTAAGAAGAATGGGTTTTAAGTCACATCGGTTCTTCTAGCTCTTCTTCGTGTGAATCAAAAGCCGAGATTCAGATTATTGATGATAAAACCCCTGCAGAAGACCCTCAACGAAGGGAGAAGGATTTTGAAATTTCATCAGATAAAATGGCGGGAGCTTATGAGGATAAACCACAGATTGATTTGCATGAGTTCCTTCAGCAGCTGGGAATACTCAGAGAAGAAAAGCAGTCTGAAGGAGCTGATGCTGCAGAAATTTTAACAGCAACAGATTCTTCAATAAAAGATTATGATGAATTAGCTGCCTTTGAAGAGAATAGCTTCAATTGGGATGCTATGATTGAGATGCGTGGAGTTGCTGATTACCAAGGAGCAGAAGCCAACTTCCAAGTTCATGATCCTCAAGAAGAGCTAACTTTTTCAACTTCTATTTGGAACTTCTAAGAGTAGTAGTCAATCTTGGAAGAAAAGAGATAGCTTCAACTTTTCCTATAGGGTGTCAAACTTTTTCAGTTCGCATTTGAGCTAGGATATAGATTTGATGCTACTTCTAAACATGTTCTGAAGTTATAGATTGTAATGATGTAGAAAAGTAGCATTTCTATCCATTGCTGGCAGAAGAGAACATACAAGAAAATAGTTTGGACTTTGACAATCAAGAGAGGCTATAGTAGATTTTAGTGGCAAAAGAATTTTTGGGAGCCGAAGGGAGGTAAAAGTTATTTCCAACCAACCAACCAATGTGTGTGATCGGAACAGATTAAATGTTAACTTGAGTCACTTTCACTTCATTGGAGTAGTTTGCATTTCTGCAATTTTCCATCTCAGTAGCTGATTCCCAGAGAGACGACAAGAGAATACCACCCTAGCGTAACATGATTAGTAGAAGAAAATTAAGTTGATCAAACAATCGTGTTGGAGGGCTCATTTACAGGATCAAACCAAGTAAAAGAACTGAAAATCGGTGGTTAAAAGCAATACGAATAAATAATCCAAGACACGAAGACAATACCTGAAAACAAGTTAGTACTCATCTAACAAAACAGCAGCTGAAAAATCTGCCAAATTATTACACTCAATAATAAGTAATGAATAAATAGCTCAGGAATATGCGATGCAGGTAAAACACTGTTTTGAAAATGTGAAGCTTTATGATGATGCAGTTTGTGAGAGGCTTTAGACATTTCTGTCATCAATGATGAAAACCAACTTTTGTTTTTGTTTTTCTCCATGTATTAATGAGGAGGTTCAAGCGCCATCTACATAATCTTCTCTGGAATCCAAGTTGCTGGCTTGTCACACCATTTGATATTGCCATATACTTCCCGTGACAATAAAGGTTTGTATATATATATCCAACCAATCTAGACCATTAAAATTAATTTGTTATAATCTATCCAAATTCTGATGTTCATATAACAGTCATGCAACCCAAACCTAAACGCTACTCGTTCAATACCAGCATGGGATAGAAACACGGATGATCAGGATCTGTCAGGTCACTTTCCATTTGCTTTTGCAAATATAACAAAAATAGACAAGATAAAATGTATAAAACATAAGAATATCAATTTTGCTCAGCTCCAAACACAAGAGGTCCAAGGAATACCCCAAAGCCAACAGATTAAAATACCTCATAATGTGATCAAGAATATTATCCTCTTTGGATCTTCACTTTATTCATTTCTGTACTCAGAGGCACTTAGATACTCACCATGCTCCTCAAAATACTCAACCACCCGCTTTAAGAATCCATCGCTGGTAACTGTTTCAGTGTCACATACAAGACAACACTGTCTTCTTGCTCGTGTCACAGCCACATTCATTCGTCTATGGTCACTTAAAAACCCAACCTGAAATGATTTGAGAATGACACGAAGCCCAACAACATAATCTTAACGCTGAGATTTCTACCATATATTCTGTAGGAATCTAGTAACAATGGTGACAGAGATGCTTAGAATACCTCTTTCTTTGAGTTCGATCGAACCATTGAAATAATAATTGCTTCCTTCTCCCGACCTTGGAAACCATCAACGGTTGAGATTTCCAGATCCTTTAGCTTATCTCCATTGCTTTTCAACATCTTCAGTAAGACCACCTGCAAAATCATCCATGGATTTATGAGTTTATGCATAGATATAGAGGGTATAGTTTCAGTAGAGTGTTTCAGTTTTTCAATGTTTTAATCAATTGGTAAAGCCCACACAAATGAGACAATTGACCACTTCACTGTGAACTCTTTTATACCTGTGCAGCATAAGGGGTAATAATTCCGATATCAGAAGCATGGACTCCATCCTGAACAAGTTTCTTGGCATGTGAAATAGCAACCTCAGCTTCACCCTCATTCAACGTGCTCTCTTCCTCATCCTTCTTCTCTTCCATATCACACCTGTAGCAAATTCAAGTCGAGTCATATAGGGCCTCCCATGACGTTTATTGTGGTAGATTCAAATAGATTTCTCATTTTCACACATTTATCTTAAAATTCTACCAAATTTGGTCTTACTTTTGTTTTAAGAAACAAAATAGTCAATATATTTCACCACAAGCTATGTTAATTAACAATCGAAATGAAAGGAAGTGAATCCATTTTATGAGGTTTCCTAAACATGAAGAAGAAGAAGAAGAAGAAGAAGAAGAAGAAGAAGAAGAGAAGGCCAAATGTAAAACATGCCTACTGCTGACCCAATTTCAGTAATAAACTGCTTACCCAGCTATGTCTACGAGAAGAAGTGTTGGTTCTGTTGAAGATGACCTCTTAACATTCTCAAGATCAAAGAGCATGTGTGCAGCAACACTTGGATGGGCTTTGATCTGCAGTAATTATGTAGTTTCCATCAACATAACAAACCAAAACCAAATTATTTTTTTAACCAACAACTTAAATATGTAAGCAAGCATAAAGCTAGAATCATAGCACCTTGCTGTCGTAAAGCTCTTTGGATGACCAGTTCATAATAAGCTCATGCATGCGGTACTGGACAGTGAGCATGGACATGACTTCATCTCCATACAGATCTGCAAGGCGTTCAAAGAGGGTTCTTCCTAACCCTTTCCTCTCAGCTTCAACACTCTGGATAGTTGGAGGAAGCTGCAGATGGTCCCCTGCAAGTATACATCTTGAACCCTGAAATAATGATAGTGGATCCTTAGGTGGGATTGCACTTTGTTATTGCTCTACATGCTAGGTTGATACCCAGCCAATGAATCTTATTAGTAAAATATCAAATTTCATTTAGAAACATTAAAGAATAAGCATGCATCCTGGAGCCTGGAAGAAGGCATATTTTACAATCATAAATCTTCAAGAACCATATTTACTAGATGGGATGGCAGAATAACCATGTAAAATGGGGGGGGGGGGGGGGGTTCCAGTTTGTAAAATCATTTTTCAGTGTCTCTAAACTGTATAAAATGTTACTTCATATCTGTTTTCCTTTTTATAGGAACACACTTTTATTTTCAACGCATTATTACCTTTAGTAGAGCCATCCAGCAGGCTATTTCAAGTGCCTGAGCAGCTTCATCAATAATAACCAAATCAAATGTAGTGTTGTCTAGTTTGCGAGAAAATGCACCAGTCAAAGTTGTCAATATGACATCAGCATCCTTAATTACATCGGTCACAGCAAGCTGCTGCCTTTTACGCTCTTCTTTGGAAAGAGTCCTAAGCTCCTTCTGGATATCTCTCCTTGTATTTCTGTCTTTGGTTTTCAACAATTTCCCATTTAGTGCCTGAAGCAATGAACTGCAGTAAGCTGAAGAACAGACTAAAAGTAAAATTCCTCTGTTTATGTAACAATGAAACAATCTCTTGCCTTCCATATCAAAAAGATAAGCTTGCAATGTCTAAAATGAGTTCAGTACGCAAGTATTTTTTATAAAAAAGAATGCAAATGTCAATACTCAGTCACTTATTCAAATATAATATATTACCATTAGAGACCATTTTAGGATGAAAACATTTAATATCTAAACAAATTTCTGAAGTAGCATCATTCTTCAGTGGATTAGTTTTACCATTAGCAAACTGACACTTAAATCAATTTTTTCTTCTTTTGGGTACAGTACAACTGAGACTTCAAATTATAGCATAAACTTGTACCTTCATTTCTTTTCGAATGTCATTTGCAAGAGAGCTATTATCTCCTCGTAGAACCTAACAGCAAAAACAACCAAAAATATAAGCGCACTCTATGATTTATACAAGAGATAACCTCAAACCTAATAAAACATGCAAAAAACAAAAGTTGCATCCACTTCAAAAGAGAAAAGTTTTAGAGTACAAGAGAAATATTCATTCTCACGACCATATTCAGAAGTAGATGACATCAAAACAAAGTTTCCTCACTTTGTGAATAGCCACTCAAATAAAGTGATGATACATGATCAGGATCCACTTCTCAGTAAATAGAAAATGGGCAGGATATTTCTTCCCCAGGAAAACTAAGAATAACAAAATGATAAAAGATAATTATCTTCATTTTTCCAGAAGCATTCATGACATCCTTTCAACAGATGAGCAAGAGCATAGAAACATAATAAAAAGATTATCATAAATATGTAAATCATTGGACTAAGATAACTTTCAAATATGTGCCTGAAGCTAAAACCAACTATAATTAAGACAAATTTTCTAGTCTTCTAATTTTAAAATATACATTCAAATTTCATCGTTCAGTTCTGTTTCTTTTCAGAAAAAACTAAAGGCTTGCCTTTGCATCAAGTGCACTGTCCAAAACTTGAGGTAGTAAACGTGCAGGATGCCCCAATCTCACCAGCTTTACTCTGATGAAAGAAACAGAGATAAAATTGAGTAATCACATTTCATGTCAAAAACATCTTACATATTAACTGTCAACAGTAATCACATGGAAAGAACAGGGAGAAAAACCTAGGAAGTGAATAACTGTTATATGGCCAAAAATAATAATAATTAACTGGTATATCAAATAGCAATTCAAATCGGAGAAGTTCATACAGCCACCCTTAAGAGGTGGCATCTAGCAGGTCTGGAGTTCAAATCCCAGTATCTGCAATCCCTTCTCCTATCCCCAGGCTACAGTCTCCTATGTTAAAAAAAAAATAGCAATTCAAGTCAAAATATCTCCATAAAATCTTACATGCTAATACAACAACCTAGCTACAATTCCCTGTGAAAGATAAAATCGTAACTGTTAACAGCTTGAAGGTCTAACAAAGACTAGTTCTAAGTTGAAAATATCCATGGTTATTATCATGTTAAATAAGAACCTTTATCCAACACTCTAACTGAAGATGCTTTGAACTAATTTAATTAAATAAACAGCCAATACAATTTGGGCATGTATATATATTTGACAATGCTTTATTAGATGGAGACTACCTGCCTGCAATGGATAAGTTAAACCATGTTTCAATGCTGACTAACCTCTCTACTATATTCAGTACACTGACAAAATTTTATTCGACCATAGACAAATCAGAACAGAAATTTCCTCTTGTAAATTCTGCATTTCAGTTAAACAAATCCTACCAAGTGAAAATTTATGGAAAATGAAAGATGCTAAAAACCGCAAACTTCAACAGAACCACATATTGCATTGAAAAAAGGGTAGTTTAAAGCCTTTTGGTTTGTATCTGTTCAAAAAATCATTAGTCCTATTCCATGAATAAGGTCACTAGAACATGGGGATAGTCCAGTTGGTAAGGGTAGGAGTTCCATTTCCTTATCAATCAAGGTTCAATCCCTATAAGGAGCACTTCAGGAGTAAAATCTTGAATGCACCAAGTCAATGTGGGAGAGTGTGCCTGAAGAATCGTCTGGGGAGGGGATTAGGCCCAAGCAAAGCTTAAAATAAAGAGGTCCCCAAAACAGAAGAAGATCCAAGCAAAAGTAAATCAGAAAAGACTTCTTTACTAGCTCAGCCAGAAGAATCACTTCCCAACACATTGGACCAGTGTACCTGTGAGGAGCAAGTCGCTCAACAATGTTGTCAACAGCAATATTTGAAGCAGCACAAGCAAGGATCTTTGATCCTCGCTTCACTTCTTGTAAGATAATTTCCACAACTGTTGTAGTTTTTCCAGTTCCAGGAGGCCCATGCAGCAGAAATATATCCTTTGATGACAGTGCCTTTAAGATGGCATCTTTCTTGATCCCAAAAAGAAGGTTAATAAATAAATTAGGGCACGGAGAAAAATCCTCAGTTTGTAGAGATGTAGCATGCATAAAGCCGATAAATTGGATATACTAAGACACTTATTGGATAAGAATGTGGGTCTATAAGCATGGTGATGACCACAATACCATATAGCAGTCCATTAAAATTTAACATAACATCATCACCATTCCCTTTCCAACTAGAAAGAGAGAAGAAAACAAAAGAAACACAATGAAGAGAAATAAAAAAACTATTTGAAAAGCCAAAACACTATGAATCCATACAACGCACCTGAGAACGATCAAGGTTGGAGTTAAAGGGGGTGAATGTGATACCCTTCTTTGATACTGTTGGTGATCTCTCTCCAAACAATACAGGAACTAGATCTGCAGCTGGTCCCTTCAGCACACCTTTACTCAATTGTATCAAGGCATCCTTCATTCTTCGATATGTCACCTGCAAAGGAAAATAAATCTATGGTGCTCTTTTTCTTATAAGCTTAAGCCTACAACACATTGACAGTATCAACTCTAGAATATCTTGTAAATTGCCATGTATTTGATACTATTTCCACAGTTTTCAATCTACTTTAGGCCTTGTATATATGATTAGACGTTAATGGTCAAATGAATACTACAACATTAAATTTGAACTTCTATATGATTTCCTAAGGTCAACCACAACAAACTTTTTGACAAACATAAAAAACCTGAAAAATACATAACTGAAAAGCAATTTGAAATGCAAAGGGGAAAGTTTGAGTCCACATAAATACTTAAAATAAAAGAAAACTATTGTCTAGGCAGTGTAACAGAAGAAGCCAATATAAAAAACCTGGAAGCAACTGAAAATTTTGAATAGCAAACCTCATTTGCCACTTTTTCTAGACGCAAGGGACTGTTTAAACCATCTTCTGGGATGTCATCAAAAGCAACCATGATTGAGGAATCCTGTTCAACGCGTACAACAACCAGTGGCACAAGAATTTAAGGGAAGGATAATACATGACATGAAACAACAAAACCAATAAAGAAATGACCCAACGCCAACGCTTTATTTCTAATAAAGTCACGATTACCTTCAACCGGTAAACTACACCTTGTCCAAGAGCAGGAGAACCTAAATCAGCCTTGTTTGGTTTTAGAACAACTACATCATGGGTTCCAAACTGCATAGCAGGGAGGAGAAAAGCACAAGCTCATATAAAGAAGGGAACATTCATTTCAAAATAAGATAAAAGTTGTCCCTTCATTGTCATTTGATGGACATTTATTACTACTCATTTTCCAATAGCAATAGCTTATGGATAATTTATGCAGGTTTCTCATAACTGGAACATGAAAATAAGCTAGATTTCCTGACAGGTTTTACTTTTTGTTGGAAGTTTAATCAATTGTTAGTCCATGCAATTGAATCTATGTCATTTCTTATTTACATCAATTAGTTATTTCATTATTTCTAAGTAACTAAATTAGAACATTTGGACCCCAAGTCATGTTTTCAAGCAACATTACTCCAACAGTGAAGTAAGTCAAATTTTGGCCAAAAAATAAGCCAAATAACTATTGGAATCCAGCATTTGTAGTATCCAAAGAAAATAGAAACGTGTCATGCATATAATAGAAATGTTTTGAAAAAAAACATAACAGTTGTTGCAATTAAGCAAAGTACTAAGAAAATCTTACACTGAAAATCAAAGAATAATTAAATACAAAACATTCTTTCTTCATTACAATTTAAAATGTATTCTAGAGTACATCAGTATTAAGGAAGAACAAATATAGCACCAAAAATCTCAAAATTTGCCAGCTCTACCACTTCAAGAATCCTCACCTTGTGAGCGGGAAGAACATCCCCTTTGGTGGATTGGAACTCAAGTAGTGTTTTCCCCATTAGCCCTGTCTATTTGCAAAATCAAAAGCAGAAGAAATAATAAGAAACCCAAGCCATTTCTATTACGTCATTTTTAGCATGTTCCCTTTAACAAACCCAAAAACATGGTTCCCTTTTTTTCCCTTGCCTTCTATTTTCTGAACTACCAAACGATGCAAATTAAAAGAAGCACAAAAACCACACAAAAAGCTAAGACAATAATACAACCTGAGCATCAACACACTTCAAATTTAGTATTGTGGAGCCCCTCTTTTGAGCAGTGTCCAAATTTCTCGATGCTCCTGAACTGATAGAAGCTGATATCTCCGCGTTCTGAGAAAAAAAGTTTTGTAAAAACAAACAACCAACCAATAGAAATATCCAAAAATATTATCTTTTACACCTAAAATCATCAATAAAGTTTCAGACTTCAAGAATTCTGGAAGAGCTGTCACATAAGAAAAATTTCTTCACTTTGGTGCTATTTGATGAATTGAAAAGTGATTTAGAGAAACACCCATTTCTGGGTTAGTAATAATAATGGCATACAATTGATATCAGATGCATTCAATACAAAAATCTTTTTAGAATCAATGGAAGAATGCAAAGAAAATGATTATATGTATATATATATATATATATATAAATACAGAGAAAGAATCAAAGAAAGAACCTTCTCCAAATCAATTAAAGGGGTCATAGTGGAGATGAATTGTTGGAGAGAGATTGGAGATGATTTCTTCTTCTTTTGTCCCTCCATTGCCGTTGCTACTTCTCAGATATAGCTACCGTTCAAGAGATCTGTGAAGTTTAGTAGAGAAACTGGACTTCGGACTACCGAGAGGTTTGCCGATTTTATTTTTGGTTTTTTTGTGGTAGGTTTGTTGTTGTTATCTTATTGGAATAAAAATTTATAGTAATTTAAAAGATAAATGTTATTTTATCCACAAACAACCTAAGTAAATTGGGAATTTATTTCTTTTTTTGTCAATTTTATATTTTAAATTTCACTTTCATTGTGTAAATAAATGAAATTACAAGTTTATTTTAAATGCCCATTATTATACATACTATTTGATAAAAAGATTGGAAAGTTCTGCATACAAAAGGATTTAAATACGTAATATTTTTATAAATTAAATAAATAAAAATTAAATATTGAAAATGTATTAAAATTTAAAAAAATAATTATATTACATTTAGCGAAAAATTCTTTTGTAAATGTGACCTTGAATATGATTCCTAATTAATTAGTTATGCATTTGCACACCTAACATATTTTTAATATACTACTGTAAGAATTTTCTTTTTTAAAAAGAAAAAGCTATTAAAAGATTTGGATTTTATTTTAAATAAAATCCATAACACATTTTTTTATTTCAATTCATTTTCGCTGGTTTATGAATAGAATAAAAGACTTTCATACATTCTCATTAAATATTTTCAAAATCTTTCTTTCACCAATATCAGACAACAATTTTATTATTATTATTATTATTATTATTATTATTATTATTATCTGAACATACCCAAATTTTACAAATGATCGAAACTACATTTTCAACTGATGAATTGAATAGAAGAGAAAATAGAGATCAAAGCTTTCATTATCAAAATATATTCAGAGAGACTTCTAAGCACAATATGCTGCTAAACCAAATTTCCTAAAGCAGATTGAAAACCTCCACATTCATTTATCCCCAATGCGAGTAACCAGAACAGGTGAAGATATTTGTTATTTTATGACAACAAATTTTATGTATTTCCCTACTTTCATCCCAAAAATTTCCCCATCATAAGGGGATTAACACTTTTCCATCACAAATAGTATTATTTATTTATTTTTGCGTTAGTGCAAGAAAATCAACTAGTAATAATATGATTGAAAACTGGTCAAATCATTTGAGAATGAGAGCATCACGGCTAGGTCCGACTCCAATATAATGGACAGGCACACCAACAAGCTCCTCTATCCTCTCAACATATTGTTGTGCAGCCTTTGGAAGATCTGAATAGTTTCTGATGGAAGAAATGTCACACTTCCATCCAGGCAAAACTTCATATTCAACCTAAAAATGAGTTAACAAGAGTGCTTTAACAACTGCTAGAATAATATCAAATGCGAACAACCTAGTATTTGCTAATGCATCAAATATCCATTGTTACCATTCTGAGGTGCGTAAAGTGCTCCCGCTATGCACAGGGTATGGGGAAAGGTCTATTATTTGCTTTCAACATTGCACACATTAAAGGAAAGCTCAAAGAAGAAAAAGCAATCAACATATGGTGTTCTCCTACATGGTGCCTATTTTTCAAAGGACTTCCAGTTGGGTCTTAATTTAAACTTAGAATGCAGTATCAATAAGACAACTGAATAAGTTAGATTTGTATAGTGAAAAGGGAAAAAAATAAAAATAAAAGATCTGATGAGTGTCAATTATGTTAGAAAAGTTGACTAACCTTCAACTGCTCAAGAAGACGAAGATCAGATGGGTATGATTGGAATGGTGTACCATCAACTTGTTTATAAGTAACACCCAATCTAATTTCAGGAAGATCCGACAAAACATCCAGTTTGGTGAGATTTAGAGAAGAAAAGCCATTAATCTGACAGCAGAACTTAAGAGCAACTATATCAAGCCAACCGCAACGACGAGGGCGGCCAGTAGTTGTGCCAAACTCTTGCCCAGCAAACCTAAGGATGTCACCCCTTTGACCCAGGATTTCAGTTGGGAAAGGACCAGAACCAACTCTTGTGGTATATGCTTTTACCTGCAGAGTATTTAAGAGAGAGGAAAATGATTGAAGTTAAACATATTTTATGCATTAAGAAAAACATCTACATTTATAACAGAACCATTTGATTTTGTATCGCTTCTCTAATTCATACCACCAACCATGCAACAAATCAATTATCTGATGAAGAAACCAAGAAAAGTAGACAAAACAAATCATTCACTTACAACTCCAATTAGATCACCCACAACTCTTGGAGCAATACCAAGCCCGGTGCAGATTCCACCAGCTGATGGACTTGAGGAAGTTACAAAGGGATAAGTACCAAAATCAATGTCTAGCATAGTAGCCTGGCCACCTTCCACCAATATCCTCTTCTTCTGTGCAATTGATTCATTCATCACATGCACAGTATCAGCAATGAAAGGCTCCAACCTCTCAGCAAATCTCTTGTAATTTTCAACCTCTTCCCTGAGCATTTCTGGGGTATAGTTAAAACCAGGGAACCTTGAAGCTGCATCTGCTAATAAAATATCAAGCTTCTGAGGGAAAGTATCCATGTGCCTCAAGTCACTTACTCTAATGCCATTCCTGATCATCTTGTTTGAGTAACAAGGTCCAATTCCTCTTCTAGTTGTGCCAATCAATGACTTAGCAAGCTCAGCTTCCCTAAGTCCATCAACTACTTGATGAAAATCAAATAGCAAGTGAGCACGGTCAGATACCAATATCCTTCCTTTGCAGGAGACCCCATTAGCTTCCAACCCATCAATTTCTTTGAATAGGCCTGGCAAATGTACCACTACTCCATTTCCAATAACACATAAAGTCTCCTCATTAAGGATGCCAGAAGGTACAAGGTGAAGGGCAAACTTCTTTCCCTCTGAATTATAGATGGTATGTCCAGCATTAGCTCCACCCTGAAATCATAAAATTTTCCAATACTAAGAAGGATGCTACTTGCAGTGACTAATTAGAAACCACAAATTCAAGCTGGCTAATTAAACTCTTATAACAACAAATTCAAGCTAGCTAATTAAACTCTTAAATTATCATTATAACATGTAGTCGCACTCTGTCCAAATAAGACATTTCTGCATTTGCTTATATAGAACTAGCAGTGCACAATGAATAGTTTGTTATAACTATTCAACATTTTTTATTTCCCTTTTCCTTTTCAGAAAGAAGCAGTAGATAGACCCTATTATTATATGAACAACCAAACTCATATGCAAGGGCAGGTCATATCACGTTACTTATGATCTGTAAAAGTTCCTAAAATTACCTGTAGTATGAAGAAAAAGGGCCATTATACTGCAATAGATAACTTAAAGGTCCAGTCCAGGAGAAAAGTCTTTAAATAAGAACTAAGTTCCGAATGCATATTGATTAAAGTTGTGGGTTAATCACATTTCCATGGTTAACATTCTGTCCACATGACATCACAAACACTCTCCCAGGCACAAATCACCAATCGCAAAATCAATTCTAAATAATTTAAAGTTATAAGAAACTGTGAAATGAAAGGTTAAACCTTACTACTTGTACTTCTACTAAAGAACCATAGGTTGAAACTTGAAAGTCTAAGCCCTTGCTAATTCAGTTAAACAAACTTTCTGACCATGATTTCAGATTTAAGGTCTCTTAAACCCAAATATGATAAGAGGTGTAAAACTATCTATGCTACCTTTGGTTGTTAGTTTTGCTACATTTTTGTTAACTTCCTGAAAAGTTGCTAAGAAGCAAAAGCAAATACTATAGAACCCAGAGTTTAGCGTTGGTTCATGTAGCCATTCAGGTGGCATTCAGCACACAACCCCTTCCCTTGTTCCTAGGCTGCGGCCTCTTTTGCAACAAAAACAAATACTAATAAAAAGAACACATTCAAACATAATTGTTAGACATAAACGTAAAATCATATATTTGTTCCTTAAAAATTTTTAATTTTTGATAATTCAAAAAAATCTGCTTTTGCATTCAAACTAACTTTAACACCAAAAAAAAATTACACCTTAAGTCAATCAAGCTTGACTTTTAACCTCATTTTTCAAACAATTTTCCTATGTATTTAAATTGCAAAAAATCACACCAATAATTTCACATTTTTTAATGAAGAGATCAATTTTAATCAATTGTAAGTCCAATTGAAAATAGATTAATCTAAGGCTCCGTTCGTCTCATCACTATTCATTTTATTTATTCTAAGAAATTTACCGTTTGTTTTTATAGTATCCAAAAGAAGTACCTTTTGCTTATGAAACCAAAAAGAAACAGAAGAAAAAGAAAATAGGTGTAAAAATAAGCGTATAAGAGTGGTACCTGGCAGCGAGCGACGATGTCGAAGTGCTCAGCCAAGATATCAACTAGCTTGCCTTTGCCTTCATCACCCCACTGAGACCCCAACACGCCAGATACCTGACTCAGCGACCTGATTCGACTCAGCGATTCACTGGTCGCCGACTCAGCCACACTCAAAGAAGAGGAGGCGGCGGGCTTCAAGGAGCAAACAACGAAGTTACAGCGGTGGTGTTGAAAGTGGCGACTGGGCCTCTGGTGGGCCCATCCTGAGGTTGCGACTGCGCTGGGGTCGAGAGCGAGAGATGAGAAGTACATGGTCAAAAAAATAGAAGACAAAACGAAGAGGGAAAAAGACAGTCTGGACAAGGAGACCTGTTATAAAACGAGGTTTTTGAAGGGAGTGAAGTGATCAAGTTACATGTGGTTGATCAAAGAGGACTCGTGAATGGTTGACACGTGGATTTAAATTGGGTTTACGGGGGGTTTTTACATCTTTTTTAATGAGGGACTCAACTCGTGTGGTCGTGTTATTTGAAAAAAAAAAAAAAATGCATGGCTTTAATTCATATTCTTATTCTAAATTGAATTAATGAACTAATGTAAACTATTTTGACGTTTTGGAGATGAATATTTGATTATTGGAGCACAATCCCATATTTCATTGGACAAATGGAGAAGCTACAATTCACTTATTGCATTGTAATATCATCCAACATACAAAATGATCTCCTACATCTTATGCACCCATGCAATGCAAAGAAAAATAGCGTATATCTCTTCTCATCTCTCTCTCTTTCCCTCACACACTACTTGGCTCTGCTGCATTTGAAACCCCATTGCTGTCATATAGGAGTTTTTCCATGGCATTTTTGGAAGGATCATATTGTTGGATCACCAAAACGGATGAAGTGGTGGAGAAGTCAGACGAGGCTAAATAGCTTCCAACAAGGCCTAGTTCAGGACAGTCAGTACCCCTTTCCGTCAATGGCATTGTTGGTGACATTCGTCCTACCAGAAACAGGCTAGCGTTGCTCATTGAGCTCAAAGCAGCAATTATGTCTTCTTTGCTGCTCATTGTTTTCTCTTCATGTATTACTGACTCGTTGTTCTTGCTTAAATTAATGGACTCGGACAAAATTTCATTGTCCATGTCTGATTCAGTTTCAACATCAGCTTTAGGATCTAGTGACATTCCAGTTTTGGGTGTAAACTTAAGGACCGTTAGCTTGATTCCAGGGTGCTCAGCCATCCTCATTCCATATGCAAGTGCTTCACGATCGTCTTGACCCCCAAAGAAAGGTACCACCATCGAGTAAGACACTTCACTAGCAACAACTTGGGTGGTGCCTCCCAGGCCACGGTCTACAAGAATTCCCACAGAGCAAGGGGCATGTCGGAGGACACGTTGGTTGACTAGATGGAATGAGTGTCCCAAAGACTCCATTGATCCATCTAGTCTTTGGTGCTTGTGGAATGGCATTAGAATTAGGGCAGCTCGCTTTCGATCAGCACTAGTGCAAATATCTTCATGGATACTATTCAAAGCTGAGATTGCAGTCATGGGGCGGACAGTGACGCTTCTTAGCTGCTGATATGCCTCAAATGCAATAACCATTTGGTCTTGATCCTCACGTTTCTTGTTCCAAAAGGGTAGACCATTTTTTCGGGCTTTGTGAATCATTGAAATGGCTGATGATCGTTCAGAGAGTTCCATAAGATGCATAGCATATACACAGAGGTGTCCCCTTTTCCGAATCCCCCGAGAGGCCTCTATCAGATTGATCAGGGTAGGAATGTTACGAGTACTATGGAAACAAGACAGGATTCGAAGCTCTGTATCAAGGTCTTTGCGCTGAATCCTTCGATGCTTGTAAGGCTTTCCCTTTCTGGTAGGCTTGTAAATAGCCATCACAATTGGGGTTGTGATGAAGGTAGTAAATAATGCCATTAGAACTAAGATAGCAAAAGATTGGTCGTTTAGCACCTGCAATGAACAGTGCTCACGGTTGGGTTGCATTTCAATTAAATACCAAGTTGTGCATTTCAAGAGATAGTAAATTAAAAAAATATATACCTTGCGGTCCTTGCCTATATTAAGGACGATGAGTTCCACCAGGCCTTTCGTGTTCATAAGGAACCCAAGTGTCAGAGCTTCCATGAAAGGCACCTTGAACAACATTGATAGACCAATTGTGCCAGCAATCTTCCCAAAACAAGCATTGAATATAACAAGCACTAGCAACCCCCACGATTGGGCCCCTTTGATACTTGCAACATTGGTTTTCAATCCACTAGATGCAAAGTAAAGCGGCAAGAAAAGCCCTGAAACTAGATCTTCTATCTTCTCTATCAACACGCCGGCGAAAGGACCGTCTTTGGGTACTAATATCCCCACCACAAAAGCCCCAAAGAGTGCATGAATGCCAATGGTATCCGTGACAAAACCTGCAGCCAGTACCAGTGATAGTGTAATACAAATATAGAGCTCCTTCACTGGCTCACCGTCAGGAGAACGCCTAGCCATGAATGCAAGTATTGGTTTCAATACCAAAATGGCAAATAAAATGAAAACTGCTCCACAAAGCAGCACCCACACAGAGACGAGAGGAGAATGGTTGGATCCAGTGAGTGCAATTGCGAGTGCGAGAAGTACCCAGGCAACAACATCGTTGACAGCTGCAGCAGACATTGCTATGCGGCCAACATCGGTTGTTAGGAGTTTTAGCTCAGCGAGAATACGAGCAAGGACAGGAAAGGCCGTTATAGAGAGAGCTACCCCCATGAAAACAAGGAAAGATATCTGATTAACTCCTTTGTTGATGGTAGAACGAAGAACAAGTGATGTACCAATGCCAAGAACAAATGGAAGACTGATCCCAGCAGCTGCTATTACTAAAGCCTTTTTGCCTGTGCGACGAATTGCTCGAATGTCGAGCTCAAGACCCACCAAAAACAAGAAGTAGAGCAGACCAATGTTGGCCAGGGTGTCCAACACAGTCATGCTTCTTTTTGGGAAAAATGTGTTCAACAACTTCTCGCTTCTTCCCAAGGCAGAAGGACCAAGCAAAATTCCTCCCTGGTTTAAAAAAAGGATCATATCATCACTGAGTGAAACAATTATATATAACATTTAAATTCAATTTGTCTAAATAAGAATTTACCCTTTTAATTGTTCTAGTTATATATATATAGTCAGACATTGTTCCTCCTTATCTTGTTAAAAGAAACAACAGGCTGAAATGAAGATAAAAGTAGAACTTACAATGATCTCTGCAATGACTCTAGGTTGCCTTAAAGGCCGAAGAATGATAGCGAGGATTCTGGTAAAAGAGACCACCAAAATTATCTGAACAATCAGCAATGGAAGAGCAAAATCGAGTGGATTTTCATTCTGGAAAGCTCCATTGGACGTAGCCTTCATTGGTGCAGGGCAAACAGGCGCAGAAATGCCATTGTTGGTAGCCATTTTTGGACCATGCAAAAAACAACTTGGCTAACAAAGACAAGGAGAAAGTAGTTAATCTTTAATCATATAATATCATTAACTTTGCATGCATGAAATTCAAGTTTGTTTGCCAACAAAATCGAACTGTAAAAGAAAACTGAAAAACAAAAAAAAAGTTAAGTTGCACTAAATTAAGACATGGGAAAACCAGATGAACCGGCAATGTAAAGGAGATTGTTAAGGAGATTAAACACTTTAACGAAGTTTTTGCCTGGGAAAAACGACTCCTTCGCCTACTTTTTTCCATACAAACTCAGATAAATATGGAAAAGAATTGCTACTTTGAACGGTGCTAATTACTATTTATAGTAGTATTATTTTTTCTCAGTCAAAGCCTGTAAACAATTTCCAGAGTTTCTTCTTAATTTTTCCTTCTTAATTGACCATGAAAAAATAAGCATCCCAATTTGTTTTATTTATTTATTTATTTAGTTTTGATAGCATGAAACTCACTAGGCTGCTTAGAGTTTGAATTTATGCAATAATATCAAACATTGCTAATTTTAGCTCCAATTTTTTAATTATGATAGTAGATGTGTTCCGTCCAAAATGGGAATGGACTACGGTTATGAATTTATAATCTAAATGATCAAATTGATTCCATGATTATAAGTTTATTCTATACCAAACCAGATCAAAATAGGGCTATATATATTTTCATTATGAGAAATGATTATTAAAGCATATCTGACCATTGATATGAATCCTTTCAAAATGAATTTCCAATTCTTAATTAATAAGATTCATACTCCACTCTAAATGATTGTTTTGCTGAATTTGAGCTGCTTATGGTTTCTCTTTGAGTAAACATCTTTGCAATGCATTCAACCCGTAAAACTGTTGCTTGTGTGGAAAGAAATCTAAAATTAATATAGAGAGTGCATCGTTTTTGAGAATGTAAGAAGAAAAGGGGAAAAGCCAAAGGACATGAAAACTGCTTTCAGTCAAATTTGTTGGCATTCTAATATATTAGACCACAATTCATAATGTTTGTGTGGACAAAAATTAACTTGATCTTACAAATAATACAAAAAAAGAAGAAAAAAAAGGTTTCAACTTCCACATCTCTTTTCTAAAATGCACTTGGTATGTTCCCTCCTCAGTTCCTCTAACAATTTTCCTTTTTTAATTATCTTCAACACTCTTTAAAAACTTGTATCAATCCATAACAAAATCCTGTAACCTGCATCTGCTTCTGTTTGGTTAAGAATCTTGCATCAATGGACATATCTTGGGATATCCGGCTTTGTTGTCGATATCCAGTTGGTCGGCTATTACACACTTCTCTGAAACTCAACTCTTTTCAAGGAGATAAAAATGTTGATTCATGTCCATTGGTTTTGGCCACTTTAGCTCTTCAACTGCAGCATGTTATTAGTTCATAGCTCTTCACTTGGCTCTTATCAAACATTCTGGTGGTAATCCATAGTCCTTTTCAAGGTGAGCAAGTTGCCGCCTCCAAGGGTCATTATGTAACTTTGTAGTCCAAAGTCTAGTTAAAACAATAAAAAGAGGTTAGCATGATGTTCATACATACAAAAAAAAAAAAAACACTAAACCAGAGGTCATGAAGTGCAAATTGAGAGCACATTCAACACATCAAAACATACATAAAAGAAATGCATCGTTGGTTCTCTGGTGGTCAAATTGAATATTCAAGCTTCAGAGAAAACAAAACACTGCAAAGAGGTAATTGGCATGCCCATGCAATGACACAAGATATCGTCTCTGAAGAGTTTCCCCACATATTTTGAACCCTAAACCCCCACCAAACACTTCAAATTCCACATTATACATAAGAAAAATTGGTTCTAGAATTCCAAATAAACAGATCTGATTATTATTGAACATTCCACAGGAATCCACAACCCTTCACAAACGAGAGAGAAGTTTATGCTGCTGTAAGACTTAAGTCTGAAGGATAATTTTGGTTGACCATGCAAACTTATGAGCGTCAAGGGGACGAAATACTACAAACTTGAAGAGGAAGAGAGAGAGCTTTTGCTCTTTTGAACTTTAATCGGAAAAAAGCTACAGAATTGTCTAATCTCTATTTGTTTAGATATACAGCAACTAGTTAGAAAGAAAATATAGCGGGTTTAAAATGCAGGGAAAATAACAGTGCCATCAGAGATATAAAATGAGAAGTTTAATATGTTATCAGATGAGTAAATTTTCAGTCGGCTTGTGACAATGACAACCCTTGTTAATAGATATTACTAAAAGCTTATATGAATTCTAAACTTCACTCACATCATAACAGTTCATTTCTTAAAACAGCCAAAATAAATTTTGTACTTCCAAGTTATCTAGTGTCTGGATAAACCTTTTATAAATGGCTAAGAGCAACCTTTAGTGCTTAATATAAATAGTTAACCGCATTAATATAACCATTGATATAATTTTAATAATTTTTATATAATTTTAATTTTGGTAATTTTTAATATAATTTAATAACATTTGATACAATTTGATAATTTTTTTTATATAATTTTTTTATATAATTTTGATAACTTTTGTTATAATTGATATTGAATATATTTGATATAACTTAATAATCATTGTTAGAAGTCTGATAATTTTTATAATTTTAATAATCATTGATACAATTTTAGTAACTTTTGATAAATTTTAGCAATATATTGATATAATTTTGTTAATCAGTGATAGTTGGTAACCTTTGGTTTTTCATAATTTTTTATATAATTTTGGTAACATTTGGTATAATTTTCATAATTTTTATATAATTTAGTAATATTTGTTAAAAATTTGACAACTTTTGGTGACTTTGATATAATTTTAATAACTTATAATATAATTTTGATAATTGTTATACAATTTTAATAATCTTAAATATAATTTTAATTATGTAATATATATTTTCATTTTATAAATTTTACTCTTCCTATCTTAAAATTAGAATTCAAAATTTAGTTATAGTCTTAAATTCTAATCAATAACATACTTTAAAATGAGTTATTATTAATTACATCTAATAATACCATTTTTTTATACAATTATAATACTAATTCCTATTTTCTTTGATGTTTGATAACACATGATGTTTAAGAAGAAAATAAAATCTTAATTTAGGGATTTAGGCATACCATCTTATCAAGGCTAAGTCATGATTTCTGATTAATAACAACAAATTACTCAAATCCCACACGCCATTGCCCATCATTTGTTGGCTTCAAATCAAGTTTACTTGAGATAATTTGGGTTGAAAAATTTTGCTAAAAGGATTAAGCGTGAAGATATTGATCTCTGTTTTAAAGTTAAGAAAAAAAATTAGTGGTAAAAATTTTAATTTTGATTTGAAAGATTGGTGCATGTTTTTTTTATGATATATTAAGAAAATTAATTTTGTTGTATAAAATTACTCAATTAATCTATAATGCCACGTCTATATTTAATGCTACAAGCATTAATGCAACATTAAAATAAATTTATTTAAATTTAATTTTAATATATTTAAAAATGTATTAAAATAAAATTTAATATTATTTTAAATAATAAATAGATCTAATTGGGCTCGAATGAATAGGCTTGGGCAAGCTGTAAGTGTCGAACCCATGGACACTTTTACCTTAATGTCAACAAAATTATTTGAGAAAAAGGCCAAATATTTTATTTAATATAATTTAATATGAAATATCATTTTATTAATAAAATATTTATTTAATTAATTTAAAATAAAATTTATATTTTGAACGATATTTTTAAAGGATTGAGCTTGGGCAAGCGAACCGAACTTAAGACATTTAAAAACCCAACCCGCGAGACACTTGTCATAGTAAATGAATTACTATTAAAATCCCAATAAATGAGATATTGTTGCAGCGGTCCTCCAACGTCTCCATTCATAATAATTTTTCCCCTTAAAACGGGAAAACTGCTTTTGAAGCCTTTTCTATTTCCATCGTTTTTTCGCAGTTTGTCATTTTCTGCGCTTCTATCTCGTCGCTCACTTGCACAACACAATTAATTCAAAATTTTTTTTTAATTCTCACAATATTGAATTAAAAAAAAAGGGAAAAGGAAAGATTTACTATAATCTTCTCTTTTTAAAAATAAATCTAAAATCGCACTAGTGGTGGTGGTGTCAATGGTGATTGCAGCGGCAGCTGTCATCGTCCCATTGGGCCTTCTCTTCTTCATCTCCGGCCTCGTTGTTAATCTTATTCAGGTTCCTTTTTTTTAGCTTTAATTTTATAGATTTGGTTTTGTTTTAACTTCTTAAGGGATTTGTTTTGTCTTTCGATTTGATTAAGTGGTTTTTTGTTTATTTTCTTCGGTAATTTTTGCTTGCTGGGTTTCTATTTTTCTCTTGTGGATGCATTAAAAGTAAATGCTGATAGGTTTATTTTTATTTTTTTTGAACTGATATTATTAATCAGCTTGCATGTACAGATGGGTTTTGAATCTACTTTACGTCTGAGCTAAATAAAATTTAGGAAAAGAAAATTAAATTGGAATCTTTGGTTTGAGCATGATACAACCATCTGCTTTTGTTGCCATATTTGCTTTCATATTTAGCGATGCCATTTTCATGCTAAAAATGGGATTTAAGTCAGTATTTTTGTTCCTTTGTTTTTGTAGCAATCAGAATTTACTGTGTTAGACAAGTTGATTCAGTTTGATTCATTGGCTGTTGTTTTTCTCTATCTCTTTGTCAATCACCATTTTTCATGTTGTGGAATTGTATGCTTTTTTTTTTTTTTTTTTTTTTTTTTTTTCAGGCAGTTTGCTTTGTTCTCATTCGGCCACTATCCGAGAACACTTATAGAAAGATCAATAGGGTGGTTGCAGAGTTGTTGTGGCTGGAACTCGTATGGCTTGTTGATTGGTGGGCGGGAGTTAAGGTGTTAATTGGTTCCTTTATTCCATTGTTTAAATTATATGTTTCGAATCACCGATTATTAACTTTTTTGGGAATTTTGAGGATAGTTTTCTCTAATGCTGAACCCTTCCTGAGATGGCAGTTTATGATGATCAAGTGCCTAAATGCTTTATACTTCCATTTCCAACTATAATTGTAAAAAGTTGGTGTCAAAAATAATCTTCCCATGCTAAGCACCAAGATATAAAGCCCGCTCAAAGGTTTTCACTGCCTTCTTTGTGATTCTGAATGTGGAAATACTTTTGGTTAATGAATGTGAATGGAATTTTCGTAATCTTAACTGGAGATAGGATGTCACTGAGACAAAGGTATTGGAAAATGAGATTGTTGTGCAGTGTCAAAATTTACATGCTTCCAGTGACCAGCTATTACATTTGCTGGTAGGCTTTAGTTAGATGAAGGCTTTTTGTCCAACTAGTATTTTTGTGTCCATAGGCTTCAAGATTGGTGCATTGTCAATTCGTCTGCATAATTATGCAAATATGAGTTGAACTATTGTTTTGAAGTTTTCTATCATCTCTAAGAGCTGATGGATGTTATATGAATTAGGTGTTAATTATTGGCTGTTAGCAAGCCAACTTTGTTAATGTGGGAAAAGAACTGGTACCATGGATGCCATACCTTAAGTAGTCTCCTAAAAATTAGCTTTTGATCTTTGAGACATTTTATTTGCAGATTAAAGTGTTTGCAGATCATGAAAGCTTCAATTTAATGGGTAATGTCAATCTCCTATACTAAGAAACTTAGTTCTTGGTCTTAGAGTTACATGGATAATGGGTATTGTTCTATCCTAAATATTTTGAACGGTTTCTTGTCATTTGATATTGTAAAATTTTTCAGGTAAGGAACATGCCCTTGTTGTATCCAATCACAGAAGTGATATCGATTGGTTAGTTGGATGGGTTTTGGCTCAGGTATGTAATTAATGTATTCCAACTCAGAATTTTTTTGCATACTGTTTGCTTGACATGTGCAATCAAAAAAATATTTGGCACTACTTGGAAATTGGCTATTTAACAGTCCAACTTCATTTGTTTTCTCTCTTAAAATGTTTTCTGCGGCTAAGATACAATTAAATTTGCATCTGACAGCGATCAGGTTGTCTTGGGAGTACATTAGCAGTGATGAAGAAATCATCAAAATTCCTTCCAGTATGTGTTTGTGTTATTCATTTGAAGTTTCAACTTTCAATAGCGAGATTATGTTCATTTCCAATTCTTTTAGTTTCAGATGATATTTTATATTTTATTCTTCAATTTTGAATGATAATAGCTGATGATGATGCTGTTTACATGGTATTTTCATGCACATTTGCATATGCTTGAGTACACATGTTCATGTATGTAAACGTGTGAAATGTGATTAGCTCAGTAGGTAATTAATGAGATAAGTAAATGAGCAGCAAGTAAACTTAAATACTATTTTCCTTTTTGGAAAAAAGAAGAAAATTAAGACTAGTGAGAAACTCTGGTCGAAATTTCTCAGTTTTATTTTATGTTACATTAGCTTCTGCTTTTAAAACTGGAGTAGGATTGTTCACTTGAAAATCTGCTTTCTTAGTCAGAGTTCAAAGTTTAGCTTGTGTATCATACGTGAAGTGAGTGTGCCTGAAGTAGGGAGCGATGATCTTAGTATTTTTCATGAAGATAGTCATATTTATTCCTGAAGTTAGTCTAGGTGAGAAGCAGGTCTTGTGTTGGAGTAGTAGTTTTTTTTTCTTCTCTTAACTTCTTTTGCTCACCTGGCTCAATTTCTGATTATTAACTCTTGGATCCTACTTTCTTTTACCTGAATTGGAACATTATGAAGCAAATGCTATTATGAGCTTGCTACGATTATTAGCACTTGTATCCTACTTTCTTTTATCTGGGCATATCACTCTGTTTTGTTTTTACTGCATACTAGTGAATGCCATTTTTTCTTTATTAAAGAAGAATATATGGTTTTACTTTTGCAAAGTTATGAAGAATTAATTCATGTCTGATATGTGCAGGTCATAGGCTGGTCAATGTGGTTTTCTGAGTATCTGTTTTTGGAACGAAGCTGGGCCAAGGATGAAAATACGTTAAAGGTAAATGTTTTCTTTTAATTTTGTCGATGCATGGGTATCAAGAATTTCTTATGCTCTCTATATGGTATACACATATACATGACCATAAATGTTGCTGTATTTACTTGTGTGATAGTGCATACTTGTTTCTAAACTACCTTATTGATCTTAGTTAAAATCTAGTGGAGTTTTAATTGCAGGCAGGCCTTCAACGTTTAAAGGACTTCCCACGGCCCTTTTGGTTGGCACTTTTTGTAGAAGGAACTCGCTTTACGCAAGCAAAGCTTCTAGCAGCTCAAGAATATGCGACCTCACAAGGATTGCCTATTCCTAGAAATGTTTTAATTCCTCGTACAAAGGTGAGATTCTTACTGCTCCAGTTTTCTTGAATTCCATGTCGTTTTTTGTATATATGGATGTCTATGTACCTGAATTTAGATTGTGGTACTCAAGTTGATAGCATTCTTTCAGTGTAAGATTAATAATATTTCAGCTTTAATTTATCTTATTTTGTTTAGTTATTTGCAGATATCGTTGCAACCTCTGCCAAAAACTAACTTTTATTCAATGCAAGTTTCTTGACCCTTTGGCAAAGTGGTTCAATGCTTAGCCAGCCTCAGCATTGATACAACTGTGCACCCTCACAACTATACCCAGTCCTCTAGTTGAGAATTAATCATGTTGGACATAGTTTTACTTCTCTCCTTTGTAATACTGGAGTTCTTTATTTTGTTCAGGGCCACTTATCTTATAGGCCCTTGCTAATCCTAATTCCATATAAAAAACATATGGCCAAAATATCAACATTATTTGTGTTTCTTCAGGGTTTTGTTTCAGCTGTAAGTCATATGCGTTCATTTGTCCCAGCCATTTATGATGTGACAGTGGCTATTCCAAAAAGCTCACCTTCACCTACAATGCTTAGACTTTTCAAGGGGCAATCTTCTGTGGTAAGTTAGATTTCAAGCCAACTGTGTAAAGCTAGTTAAATATCTTTGCATAATTATGTCTGGATTTGAAGATTAACATTGCTTTCCCTATATTTCACATTGATATGTCCTTGGAGAATTTGCTGCAGGTCTCCTTAAGGATTTCACTTCTAAATTCCGCATTATCATGAAATTCGTTCTGAGTGTAAAGGCATAATCTGCTGTCAAATATCTCTAATGGGCATTCTTCATAATTTGTTCACATCTTTTATCAGATCTTTTAGAATCCCTGGAGTGAAGGCCAACGAGTTTGTTGGTCATGGGCTTTTCAGGAATTAGTTAATTTGTTGTAGTTACTTTATGGCAACATGGAATTGGTTGAGTTGCTAGGTTTAATATGGAAACAACTCACTGAGAATGTAGTCTTAGGCCATGCTGGAAAAGTATTTGCTTTTCCTTCTGCTTCTCCTATGGTTGAATCATGTATGTCATTCCTAAGTTCTGATTATTAAACCTACAAGTGCCATTGATCTTAAACATCTTAGTTGATTGTTGAATGACTTGCAGTTCTATTGGGTTTATTCAGTTGATTAAGATATTGTTTCACTCGCTTGCAGGTGCATGTACACATTAAGAGGCATCTCATGAAGGAACTGCCTGACACGGACGAAGCTGTTGCACAGTGGTGTAAAGATATCTTTGTGGAGAAGGTGAGTATTCTTCATCTAGTGCATAGCAGGGTGCTGTTCTAGGTGGTCTTCCATGCATGTCTGAAATAATTATATGCTTGAAAATGAAAGGAAGGATTGTAACCTTGACAAGGTTGTTTATCTTTGTGATTTATGTTTAATCATGTTTATTCTTGTGCTTGCAGTAGTTCATGCACTAGTTTCCTACTTATGGTTTTGTTTCTGTTTGATTTCTCATATAGGACAAGTTGTTGGACAAACACATAGCTGAGGACACTTTCAGTGACCAACCATTGCAGGATGTTGGTAGGCCGATCAAGTCTCTTTTGGTGAGATTCTTTGTGTCAAATTAGCCAATCTTCATTTTGATTTTCTTCAGCTGGTGTGGCATTGTCTTGTTTTTCTGGTGTTGTAAGAGTTGCTTCTTGAGCTTAATATGATGAACAATATTCTTATTCCTGGTCAGGTTGTTACCTCTTGGGCATGTCTTGTGGCTTATGGGGCTCTCAAGTTTCTGCAATGGTCGTCACTTTTATCCTCATGGAAGGGCATTGCATTGTCAGCATTTGGCTTGGCCATTGTTACCATCCTCATGCAAATCTTAATCCTCTTCTCTCAGTCAGAGCGTTCAACTCCTGCCAAGATAGCTCCAGCCAAGCCCAAGAATGGCGGGGAGAGTTCAGAGGCAAGACGGGACAAACTGCAGTAGATCGATCTTCCTCCCAAGAAATCCGCATGGCAGGAACCTCATCTACAATCATATTTTCAGAAACCTAAACCATGTGTAGTGTCTGTATCACTTTCACTTACCTCGGTTTGTCTTCATTTTAGACTTTCAAGCATATTGTCTTATGGTCATCAGGTGACACAAGTTTGTCTGCATTGTCAATTCTTTGTTTTCTGTTAAAATGGCTTTGTAGCAGCAATGTTTTACATTAGGCTAGCCCCATTCTTACATTTCGATATCTCTTCAGTCGATACAGGAGTCTTAAAAATTTATTCACATGCCTTAATTGTTGTCTGCCATTTTTTTCACTAAGCTTTCATTCTTTGTTCCAAATATTTTTACGTCAGCGGAGGAAGTTGCTGCTGGCTGAAACCATTTCCTGAAATTCAAAACTACACTTTCTTAGGGGTGTTGTGTGTTTTATGTTTTTAAAAATTTTGTTTTGTTTTATTTTCGTTTTATTTTTAATTTATTGAATTTGAAAATAGGTTTGGATAAAATGTTTTTGTTTTAAAAATGTGAAAATAAAAACAAGTAAAAGAAAGTGATTAAAGTTTTTAGACTTTATTTGTTATTAATAATATATTATTTATAAATAAATATAATAATATTTATTAATATAATATTTATATAATAAAAATATTATTTTATTAATATATTATTTGTAATATCACTGTAATGGTTTAATTGTAATTTTTATGACTAGTAGGTAACAATGCCAAATTATTTTCTAAAAATTGAAAACATAATTTTTCTATTTTAACAATTTTCGAAATTTTTAAAAATGTTATCTTCAGTTTTCAAAAATAATCTACTGAACATGTTTTTGTTTTTAATTTTCAAAAAAATTGAAAAAAAAAAAAACAAAAACAAACGATCGCTTAAGTTTCGTTTGGTTTGAGAAAATGTTTTTTATTTTTACTTTTTAAAAAATAATTTTTAATTTTTAATTTCTTAAAAAATGTATTTAGCAAGCGAAAATAAAAATTATTTTCAAAAAATGTAAAAAATAAATAAAATAAATAAAATATTCAATGATATTATTATTAATATCATCTAATGATAAATATAATATATATTTTATTAGTTAATGATATTAAAAATGTTCTAATATGGTAACTTGCAAAATATAAAAAAAAAATATTGTACAGTTATTATTTTCATAATTAAAAAATAATATTTTTTGTTATCATATTTCAATCTATTTTTATTTTTGTTTTCCAAAAATTTATTTTCATTTTTAATTACAAACACTTTTTCATTTATATTTTTTATTTTTTAAAAATAATAAAAAAAATAACTCTATTTTTTGAAATCAAACACTACTTAAAATAAGTTCTTATTTATTTGCAAAAAAAATCACATGTCAGGCTGATAATTACTTTCTTCACTTGACATTTACTTTTTTCTTTTTTTTTTTACTTTGATACTGCTATTTGTACTTGTCATTCATTTTAAGTAATTTTTTTTTATTTGATACAACAAATGATTATGAGTGATGGATTAATGTTTATTTTCTTAAATTTTTTGTTATAATAATCTAATGAACATTTGATAACTTTATAAATTAATTTTTTATTGGGTGTTGGATTAAGGGAGCGTGTCTTAGACGGTTGAGCCCATTGTATTCCTGTGCCGGGCCTTACTTACTTGGCCTATAGCCAACCCGATCCGACCCACCCAACATCAAGTAGATTAATTCGCATTTTTTTCCCCTCGTCCTCGTTGCAGTTGTCTGGCCAGACTATAAATAAGAGTGGAAGGGTTCTTAAACCTCAACAGAACCCCCTCCTCTCGACTCTTTCTCCGCCGCCGACTAGCGTCAATTTTCTCACCGCCGGTCATTTTATCATCTTCCACTTCCGTCACCCTTTCATTTTCTCTCACCGCTGACAGCCACCATGGCCCAAGTTATGGAGGTCTTTTGCTCTCCCTTAATCTTTGTTCTTCAAAATTTTGACAGTAAATAAGATTTCCTTAACTATTTTTATTATTAAGTATGTATTATTTTTGAACCTGAAAGTTCGAAGTTTTCTCAAGTGGGAGCATTTTTTCTGAATGAATTTTGTAGGGGGCAACGGATTCAGTAGAGGCGGTGTGGTTCAATTTCATGACAACCGAAGAGGTTCGAAAACACAGCGTTTTGAAAGTTACCAACGCCAATTTGCTTGACTTCATGGATCGCCCTGTGCCTGGCGGATTATACGACCCCGTTTTAGGACCTCTTGAGGATCGAACCCCGTATGTTCTTTGTTTTGTTTTTCAACTTTTCCTTTCTGCTACGTATTTCTTTGCCTCATAAAAAGTTGCTATAAAGAGAAACCAAATGATAGGCAGAAAAAAATTTAATAGATTAAAAATGGAAAAAGACAAGAAAATGTAAAACTTGTAAAACCTTAACACCAATTCTAACATAATTATTCTATAAAAATGTAAAATCATGCTTCTTTATATTCATTGTTAATTCCTTAAAAATATTGTTTGCATTTTACAAAGGCAGCTGTGCGTCTGGCAATAACTAAATGCTACTTAAAAAATTTTAATGAACTATAGATAAAGGACTATTTGTTTTATAGAGTTACATTATTTTGACTTTTATTGCAGTTGTAAAAGCTGTGGCCTCTTGAAATTACATTGCCCAGGTCACTGTGGTCACATTGACTTTGTGTCTCCGATTTATAATCCCCTGCTGTTCAATTTTCTTCATACCGTTCTTCAAAAGACCTGTTTCTTTTGTTACCATTTTAGGGCAGAAAGGACTGAGGTAAATTATTTTTCAATTTTTTTATCTTGGATTTTTTTGTTACTTATCTAATATCTCTTTATTGTGTTTGCATTTATTTAAGGTTGACAGATGCGTTTCTCAATTGAAACTCATTGGGAAAGGTGATATTGTCGGTGCCAAAAGGTTAGATGCAGACTCCAGAGATCCATCATCATATCCAGAGTATATTGAAGGGAGCCAAGAATTAGGTTCTATATTACATGATTCTCAAGCTGTAAACCCTAAAGAATGGACATCTCTTCAACTTACGGAAGCAATGTCAGTTTTAAATAGCTTTCTGAAACTGAAATACAAAAAGTGCAAGAACTGTGATGCGAAAAATCCTGCTATCACCAAGCCCACTTTTGGTTGGTTTCACACGGTATATCTCTTCTTTCTCATCTTTTTTCTTCAAATCTCTATCCTTATGTTTCTACACTGTGATTCACTTAAAAGATTTTCTGCTAGCTTTTATCCAGTGGGCCATATGTGGCTCTAATTTTAGATTATAAACAATATTAAAAAATGGCATATTGGAAGAAGGATAATACTTCGGGAAGTGGTGGAGGGTGAGAACCAGCCTTTCAACAATTGCTGATGCATAGTCTGTTTTGTGATCATTCCTGTATGGTTTTAAATTGATACCAAGACATAACAAACGTTTAACACATTAGACAGTTGATAATCTGAAAAAGATAATGATCCATTTAGTTGTTGAAATGTTTCCATTTATCATCTTCATTCTACATTATATATGATCAATGAATTAAGTTTAGTAACTAGATTGAATAGATGACCTTCAGAAGAGACTTAAAAATTCCACATACTTTTCTGTTTGCATAGCTTACCATGAGGATATTTAAAAAACAAAACCAAACTAAGTCATTTCTTTCTATGTGGGCATCGTACCACAAGGATATGTGTGTGTAAGTGATTGATTTTTCTTTTATATCATATCGCAAGATTTGTTCAAGTACACTTAGAATGTCATGCCTATAAATATTGCATTTTGTCTTTAGAGTTTTCAATGATTATTTTTTCCATTTGGATGGATCTGCACAGTGATTCAGTAGTGGTTTCGTTTAATTTCTGTAATTAAGTTAGTCACCGTAATCTTCTTTTCCAACTTGGAAAACTTCAGGGCTTTAATGGTTCAATTCTTAAATGTCCTGGTTGCTAACTGCAGAGTGGCATGTCTGGTGCCCAAATGAGGGAAAATGTTATCAGAGGATGCAAAATGTTAGACAAATTTTCTGGGGAAGCTAGATCTGGGATAGAAGATGCGAGTGATGCATCTAGCTCTGAAAATGGTGTTGATATAGCTGAAATGGATACTCCTAAAACTGGCTTCATAGGAGCTGAAGATACTGGTGCAAAGGCTCGTAAAAAGAAGGCCGAAGTGCCTCTTGAGTTCATTAAGCAGAAGAATTTGTTTTCAGGACCTCTCTTGCCATCAGAGGTATGATTCTTGGTTATGCCAACGTTTCTAGCATTGTATTCATGTTTACCTTTGTTTACTGTTATTTTGAGTGGAATATTCATTTTAGAATTCTTATTCTGCCACAGGTTAAAAAAATTATAAAACTTTTGTGGGAAAATGAGTTTGAACTTTGCCTGTTGATCAGTGATATCCAGCAGCAAGGATTTGGAGAGAAAGTGGGCTACTCTATGTTCTTCCTAGAGACCATTCTTGTACCTCCTATTAAGTTTCGCGCCCCAACCAAGGGAGGTGATTCTGTAAGTACCAACATTCAATAGTTCCCTGTTTCTTTTCAAGAGGGTGGGAGGGAGGTTTAATAAGCTTGTTCAGCTCACCCCTGTTACATGTTGAGAGATGATGGATGGTTTCATATGTTATAAATGCTACTCATGTGTATACAGGGATTCAAGAATTGGGATGGTTTGTTGGACATACATAAGTTGGAGATGGGGTTGAAATTTATTTTGTGATAGTATGTGGACTGGGGAGGAGTCTCTGATGCCTGATGTATTATGTATGATGATAGAAAAGAATCTAAGTGGTGTGGGGGGGGGGAGATTATGCACCTTACCAACTATGGACATGGCTTTTATATTTTTCTTGGTTTCCATTATTTTTTTGCATTTTCTACTTCCTTTTCACTTTAAGCTTTTAAAACTTGTCTTTATACTTATTGAAAACCTCGTGATACTCTGACCTTGCTGCAATGGCAATAATATGATTTGATTATTCGAGAACAACATAACTAGTTAATTTTTTCGGCCAATATTTTGGCTCGCTATTTTTTTCCATAGAGCAAATTAAGCATGGGATGGTGATGCATATGCTGTTTTTCTCTTAAACTAATATCTTGATTGAGGGCCAACTCTTAATTAATGTATGTGAACTTTTTTTCCCTCCCATATTGTCACTGTACTTGCTTTAGGTGAAAACTTTTCTATTTGTGGTGGATTTTATGATTTAATGTGAGGTTTAATTTAGCATTTTGAGAGTCATATAAATGACTTTTTGTCACTTTCAGTTAACTTTGGTTGTTCAATTTTTGAGAATTGAATGTCAGAATTTAGATTGCCCAGCTTTTCTTTTTAATTTTCTGTTTCTTTGCTATTGCTGCTGCATATGGACTAGTCATTTTCTTTTAGGAATGAATCTCTTC